TAAATAATCAAAAAATAATTTTTTAACTTAAATAATAATCTAAAAAATTTATCTACAATATTTAGTAAAAATGATTTAGAATTAATTAAATTTTATTCATTTTTATCACAGTTACATATAAGAGAAGTTTTTGAAAAAAATTATTATGTCATTAATTGTGCACTCTAAATTCTTAATAACAAATATATGCCATAATTTAAGTGGTAAAAATTAAAAAATAAATCGCAAAAATTATATTTATGATAAAATATAAATACATTTCATTTTATGAGTTTTATAAATTTAATTTATCATATGATAGCAGTAAATTACATTTGTCAATATAATAATTTTTTCATGTTTTGTGAAATTTAAAAAATATAATTTGTCTTATGCTATCAGATTTACGTAAAAATGAATTAGGATTCACTTGTGATATTAAAATTTGGGCTTAATATTAGATTTACACCAACTTATCCTTACCTAATCATTAAAAAAATTGTCTTGTTCTGTTCCTAACTTATATAAATCATTTGACCTAATTATTTATTAAATTAGTAAATAAATATTTGTAAATATTCTTTTATAATAAAAATAAGAAATATGAACTTATTAAAAAGTTTGAACTATAGTTTGAACTAGAGTTCCATTGCAGCTAGCTCTCTACCTTCGAGCAAATCCATTGTCAAAGAGTGGCGGTCGACCGCCCGGAAGTCCAGGTGGATGACCGGCCAGATATCCTGGTAGACAACCAACTCAACCACTTTCCCAAATCAGAGAACCCATTCCACCTTCTCAGCTACTCTACACCAGATCAATTGAAGGATATACATATCAACTATGAACTATCTTCAACTTTAAATTTCATTACACTTTTCAGAAAATGGAGAAGACAAAGAGAGAGAATATGTGCGTTGGAAAAAGTGGAGAAGATAAAATAGAGAGACATCTGCCAAACGAGAATGAGAATTATATTTTTAAAGGTGTCATGGAATTACATTTTGAAAATTCTATCCAAACATAAAATGCAAATGAAGGGGTGGAATTACATTTCCAGAACACAACCAAACACAGCCTATATATTTATGTTTAAAACAATTAAATGATTAGTTATATATATTTATGTATAAAAAAATTATTTAAGATAAAACCACCCTAAATTATAGGTCATATTATAGTCATAATAAATTTAAATTTTATATTTATATCATAGTTTATCAGTTCGTGATTGATATGAGCTAATTTGAGAGTTCTAATATTGGATTAAACATTAAAAAATAGCCAAGAAAATTTAGTTTAAGTAGATTTTTTTTGCCAATAATTATTGATTTAAGCTTAGTCTTTAGAGAATTGTCTAATTCACGTTCAATCTATGAGTTAATAGACCTACCTATTTATTTAATTTTTAATTAGTAAATATATTTTTTAAAAAAACTTTATAACAAAAATAGGAAATATGTACATATTTGTTTGGTATATTTATTAACAATTTCAAAATTATTTAAGAAATTATGTACTTATTCTTAAAAGGATAAATTACATTGGTAATCCCTACATTTTAACTCTTGTGTTGTTTTTGTCCTTGCAATTTTAATTTGCTCAATTTTGAACTTAAATTTATAATTTTTTCTCAATTTGGTTCAATTGTTATAATTGCTAGTGTTTTTTTTTTTATTGAAAATACACATATAAGTAGCATCTGTTATACTTTTATAAACAAAATTTTAAATTTGTTCAACTCAAGAAGTTAATCTCAACCAATTCAATAACTATTTTCTTTCAAAAATCTTAACTGGCATTATCAATTGGACCAAATTAATACAAAATCTAAAATTATGGATAAAAATCAAACTAACTGAAATTACAAAGGCCAAATTGACACAAGAGACAAAATGCAGGGGCTATCGATATAATTTACCTTTCTTAAAACATGTCGTCTAATATTGATTGTATCAATATTAAGATATATTTATATCTGAAAAACTATTTAAGACCAGATCAAGCTATAACCTGAATAAAAAATTAATGGTTTATTAAAAATATTTAATAATTATAAATTCAAATTTGATCAATTTTTCATTTAAATTTTTTCATAGAATTGTTTGATAATTTTAATTTATAATTCCAATTTTTCCTTGTATTTTTTTGAAAATATTTTAAAATTATATATAATTATACTTTCTTTTGAAATCTTCTTTTCAAACTCAAATTAGTTATAACTTGAATTTGATTAAAATTTATTTTTGACTTCTCATCTACAAAAATTAACAATAAACATAAATTAAATTTTTGAACATCGTAAAAAGGCAAATAAAGAAATATATTATCAATAATAATAATCACAAAATATATTTTTATTTATCATGTGACGTCTCACTACTACATTGATAATAGAAATTAATAATAAAATTCATTACGAGCAATAATATATCAAATGATAAGTAATATATGATCACAATAATTTTTTATAGTTATACAAAAGTACCCAAAATTATATATAAAAAATAATATATCCATATTCAATTTTTATATGGTAAAATTCACACTTAATCTCAACCACACATTAATTTTATAAATCAATTTATCACCCAAACTATCTATTACTATTGTAATATTCACCTTTTCAAAATCTACTCAAACAATACTCTCGTCGAGCTCATCATTACCCTTGTTGTTGCCATGCTCACCATCTCCACTAACCATTATGCAACTCCGGTCTAGTTTTTTTATCTCTATAAATATAAAAAGACAATGTTGTTGGGAAAAAAAAAAAGATATTGTTAGAGTTTAAAGAGGAGTTGTGCTACGTAGCTCGAAAGAGAGGCCCCCAAATCCCCCTGAATCCAAAAACGACGTCGTTTCGGTGTTTTGAAATTTTTTATTTTTTTTCAATCAGAAAAGAAGAAGAAGAAAGAAGAAAGAAGAGGAATAAGAAGAAGGAAGAAGAATAAGGAGTAGCAGAGAGAGAGAGACAGAGAGAGAGAGGCGGAGGCGACGGCGGTCGGAGACGAGGCTGCGACTAGGGGTGAGCATGGTCTGGATTGGACCGCATTGGGGTAAAACTAGGACCAATCCGTTATCTACGGTTCCTGAAAAATTGGAATCAATCCAATCCGTTTAAATCATGGAACCAATCCGAACCAATCCATTCAAACACGGATTGGATCGGTTTAGGACCACGGATTCACATAATTAAATAACAAAAAATATATATTTAACACTTTAATTTCTTAAAAACATAAACATAGCGCTATATTAGTTCCACAATAGCAACATGTTTTTCTATAATGACGACATACTGTTCTAGAATTTAAACAACCATAAGAAAACTGGTTTCACCATAAGTATTTAGACCATTACAAATTAAAACTAAAAACTAACAAACAAAAGTAATGAAAGAAGATATTATACGAATTTAGGTTTGAGTTTAGGTTTTATATAGAATGAGAGAAGATACTATGGGAGATGATGTATAATAAAAATATAGACTATTTGTATACGGCCCAGATCGGTTCCAATCCAGAACCGTGGGGTTCAATCCGGAACCAATCCGTGGACTACGGATTTTTAATTCTTCAATTCGGAACCGAACCACGAATTCAAAAAACCAATCCAAACCTATCGGATTGGACTGGACTGGATCGGACTACGGATTTCACGGATTCATTGCTCAGACCTAGCTGCGACGGGCTGCGACGATCGACCGATCGATCTGCGATCGATCAGCGGCGGCGGAGGTGAATGAGGGGGCCTCTCTCTCTCTCTCTATTCCCTCTCCTCTTTCTCTCTCTCTCTTTCTCTTTCTCTTTCTCTTCTATCTGTTTCGGGTTGTTCGAGGGGGCAAAAATCGGGGGAAAAATCATTTTTGTTTAAAGAGTTAAAAATGAAAAAAAAAATGCATGATTTTAGGTTTTCTTATTCCATATATTGGTGTTAATTTTTGTTTTTAAATCCATAAATTATGGAATAGTGTTTATTATTTAAAATTTTATTTATTGATGGGCAAGTCAATTAAAATGTTTTTAAGTTTTTACAAATAAAAAATTTGAAAATTTTGTTTAAGAAATTTTAAAAATGACCAAATCATAAAGAATAATATAAGACGCCTTATTTTATTTAAAAAAAAAAATAAAACTAAAAACTAACAAACAAAAGTAATGAAAGAAGATATTATACGAATTTAGGTTTGAGTTTAGGTTTTATATAGAATGAGAGAAGATACTATGGGAGATGATGTATAATAAAAATATAGACTATTTGTATATATCAAAAGAAATAATAAGAACAATACAAAAAATACAAAGAGAGAGAATAACCATCGCATCATTATATTTGGGGAGGAGTTGGCCGGGCTGAAGAAAAATCAAATATTGAATATTTTAAAAAGAGAATTGTATTGAATTTTTAATTTGATTGGGTTTTTAAAATTTTAGATTTATATTATTTTCGAAAAAGGTGAGAGTGAGATGAAGGTGACTTTGGGTTTTTAAAATTTTAGATTTATATTATTTTCGAAAAAGGTGAGAGTGAGATGAAGGTGACTTAACATATTATTTTGAATTTTGAAATTCAAAATGATAGATAATTAATTTCTTTATTTATTTTTATTTGAATTGTTTTGATCAATATTATTTTATAAAGAGTGAAGGTGACTTATCATATTGTTTTGAATTTTTAAAATTCATTTTTTTTTATTTCTTTAAAAATTAATAAATTAACAAAATTAATTTAAGAATTTAAAACTTATACAATTATTATTTTTAAAAAAATTATTTTCTTTATATATATAAATAATTATAAACACAATTCGTGAATAGCACGAAACAGTAATTTGGTTAATTCCAAATTTAATGGCAAACCACGAATCATGAATACCCTAGTTAGTTGTTGCTGCTTGGATGCTTGGGGACACGCCAGGCCAGGCCAGTGGGTCAAACGAAATTTTATAAAATTTATTGGTGTAAAAGTGTAAAATAAGAAAAATGATATAGTGAAAAATGAGGTAAAAAAAAATGGGGAAAAAGAAAAGAAAAAGAAATAGACAGCTGCGAGGGCGATACTCATATATCCAACGATCAAGCCCTAGCCACGAGAGTGAGAGAAGAGGAAGAGGTCGGTGGAAGCTCCGCCGAAAACTAAGTTGAAGGTTCCTTCTCAATCTTTATTTTCTTCGGCTTTCTTCTTCTTCCTCTGTCTTCTTCTCTCAGCCCACTCCCAGTGTAAAATTCAAGAAAAACGCCATACTTCCTTAAAATTCAAACTCCATTTACGTGGTAATTTGTCTACATTTGAGCCATAGCTATCACCCTTGTTCTCAACATCCGTTGCAGCGGGAAAAAAGAAGTTAAAAACAAAAAAATTATTATTATTTTGTATTGCTTATGCCACTGTTGTTGCGATTGCTTATGCTATTGTGATTTCTTGTGATGTATGAATTGAATATACTATTTTTTTTTTTTTGGGGGGGTGTGGGGGGGGGGGGGGGGGGTTTTTAAAAGATGTATGATTTACAATTTTATTTTTATCACTTTTGAGTATTTGATGGAATACAACTGTTATATGAATGATATATTGATATTTAAGACATGGTATATGTGGTTCTTCAGTTTTAGTTAGTGTTATGTTGCATTTTTTTCCATTATATTTGAATAAAGTATAAGTAAACAGAAGAACATATTAAACATTTCAAAATAAGGCGTGCCCGTTATACCAAAAGTATTATGTCAAAAAGCTCAACAGAAATTGAGCTCTCTTATCAAGTCTACAAAGAGGATGAGGATTCACAAAATATATATACTCAAAAAATCAAAGCAATGTAATAGACAGGACTTAAGCTTCTGCACATTGATTTCCTTATCTTCAAAAGTCCTCATGTTTCTGTCCTTGCAAAGGCACCACATGATGCAAAAAAGAGCTACCATCCATGCTTTATTCTTCCTATTTTGTAGTGGGAAAAAATTCTCACCTCTATACAGTGAGATAACCTTTCAACCAAAAGATGAACAAACCACCATGTAGCCGTCTTCCTCCATGTTCTTGCGTTTCTGCAAAACAAGGCACCATGAGGCTGCCTGGTTGGTGATGGTTGGTTGGAAGGTCCTCTGATGCTAAAGTCAGCACAATCTCATTGTAGAGTGAGCTGAATTTTTGTGAATCACGTATTACATACCTTGGCCAATGAGGTAAAATGTATATTTGTAGTGTACGGTTTTGTTTTCCAAGAATCCTAATCCTTCTATGGGATTAGCTTAACATTAGGTAATTGATTCTTCTTTCCTAATCAATTTAGGAGTTCATTTCCTTACATAATGCTGACTTAATTCTTTGACCATTCTTTGCCTGCGGACCAGGGCATTGTCCAACTTTGCCACATCAAGTGTCCTGATCAAAATCTCCCTATGCAATCATGCCAACCTGGCAGTCTTGACTAATTTTCCCCTTCATTTGTTCCCCAACTTCCACTTTCTTGATCGAAGTGAAAAGGGAGTGGAAGTTCTTGTCATATTCAACATTTTTCATGCTTGAACTCGGGGGTGTTAATATGGCTTGTTCTTGTAATTTCAAAAAATCTAGTGAAACCAATCTGATCTGATTTGATCCAATCCAAACTGCTGGCTTAGTTTGATTTTTGTTAGCTTCGATTCTAGTTCCAATTTTGAAAATAGTTGAATCGTTCGAATTGGTTTAGTTCGCGGTTCTAAGCTTTCGGTTATGGTTTTGAACCGAACCAAACTGTGATATATTTGTTTATTAATTTTTAATATTTTTGTATATAAAAACAAAAGTATAGAAGTTTCTAGCAAGATTTGAACAATAGTTTTTATTATAAAATTGATAAGCACCAAGTAACTATGCTAATTGTTGTTAGTTTGTTTACTACTATTAAATATATACCATATCTCCTATTATATAAAATTTCTAGAATCGTAGAACCAAATCGGTTTCTATGGTTCAGTTTTGGTCCGATCACATAGGTTCAACGGTTCAATTATGGTTCCAATTTTTTCTAAAACGCAGGGACCTATTTAGTGCTTAATTTTCTCTAAAATCAAACCAATCTAATACGTGAACACTTTTGTGTCTAGGGAGTGCTACTCCGAACACTTTATTTCTTAAGAGTGATTTTCTTAACATTTTTTTTCTTCTTGTTTGACACTTTGTAAATTCATAATTGAACTTCTCCTTTGTGATGACCATGCACATACTGCATGAATCTTGATTGGAGAAAAAATAGTTGCAATAATTGAGTTCAATGAAATTGTCTTAATTTCTCATGTCATGGTTTTGATACAGTGCATTGTGGCGCTCCTTCATATTGCCATCAAAGCTAAGTCTGTTTATACACGTCAATTGCGAAGCCAGTGATTTTTACTGAACTACCTCCTTTGATGGCGAGATTGACATTGGTGACAATAGGGCATTGTCTTGGTCATTGTTGCATCTGTCACATGTCCTCTATTTCTCTTCATTCCTTTTCTTTTTCTTCTTTCTTTGATCCAATTATTAACGAAATACTTACCACATCATGACCGAAATCCTTCAACTAGAAAAGCACAAGTGTGGCAAGATATGCCCGTCTCTTTGGTTGCACCTGAAACGCGCTTCAATGGTTGGTCATCTCTATTATCTCGTGGCAAAAACCCAAATCTCTCTCTTGAAAGTTGGTTTATCTCTCTATAAGAATGCTCAGCAAGAAAAGAACCATATGAGCAGAGACCAAAACCCCTCCTCCATTGGTCGTAGCATTGTCTTGCCAAAGAGATTGACCATGAAACAAAAGCTTAGTGAACCTCAAGGGGTTGACCTATTGGGCAAAACTTGGGGCCTGGGGGTGTACTCTCTCTAGGTCTCAAGTTTAATACCCATTAGCAGCAATAAGCTCCTTGGGGCCATATCCATACAGGGCGTTCGCCTTGGTTTTAAATGGGGCTCCCGCAAGTGGGCAGTAGGATTGGTCCCTCGGGATTAGCCGAGGTGTGCGTAAACTGGCCCGGATATTCGATTATCAAAAAAAAAATGGTCAACTAGTGAACTCAATGGAACCAACACAAATTGTAGTGTTGCCTTGGTCGAGGTAACAAAGACTCCCCACGTAATTCCTATTGACAAATTCTATAATAGAGGTGCCATTGGATGTGGTTGCACATGAGGCCCGACATTTCCCAAGCATGTTGTCAACCATCAATGTTGGACATCTTGCCAACTGATTTGGTGCTGTTTGTCTTCCACGTCTTGATTCATTTTTGCCATTACCTCTTGAAAGTTTTTTTGGATCAAACAACAAAGATAGAAATATATTTTTCTTGTCTTCAGATAATAACAAGTTTCAAGCAATCTGTTTTGCTTGTTCCTTCTGTGTGATAAATGGGATAGGACTCTTTTGACATAGTCATAGAGCATCAAAACAAGGTACCCAACTCTATTAATGGTTGCTACCACGTATGTCAATCTTAGTGTTGTGTATCTTCCTTTTTCTGCTCTCTTTTTTTAAAAACTTTTTGTCCTCTATTATTTTTATTTATTTTTTTTCTTTCCATTTTTCATTTTTATAACCAATGTGCTTTCTTACACATTGATGAGAAAACGTGGACCCTTGGTGAGAGCTATTGGTGTGCCAATTCGCATGAAAGCTAATCTCTTAGAAGTTAGCTTTAATCTGGGGTGTACTTCATAGCATGTGGAATTCATGGTGTGGACTGACCATGGCAAAAATAAAGAACAACTCTTATCTTTGTTCCACCAGTATACATGAATGAAATTATAGGCATCCTCCATGTCTCGTAAATGAATTTTTGTTGTTGCCGTCTTTTCTGTTGAACTCCATTCTTTCCCACAGACAATGCCAATTGTAGAGGGGGGAAATTCTCACCTCTATATAGTGAGGCAACCTTAAACAAAAAGATGAACAAATCGCCACGTAGCCGTGTTTTTGTAAAACAAGGCATTGTGAGCTTGCTTGACTGGAGATGGTTGGTTAGAAGGCCCTTCGATACTAAAGTCAACACAATCTTATCATAGAGAGAGTGGAGTCTTCTTTGTGAATCATGTCGCGTACCTTGGCCAATTAGGCAAAACGTATATTTATAATGTAAGGTTTCTTATCTTCTAAGAATGGGATTAACTTGGCAATAGTTAATTGGTTCTTCTTCCCTAATCGATTTAGGAGTTCATTTCCTTATAAAATATACTAGCTTAATTCTTTGACCATTATCTGTCCACCAACTGGGGTGTTGACCAATCATGCCACGCCACATGGCCCTGCCAGACTCACCCTTTGCAATCATGTCAACCTGGCAGTCTTGGCTAATTTCCCCCCTTCACTTTTTCAACCTACAACTATTGCCCCAAGATTCCAAAAGCTTTAGACCATAGCGAGCAATGGCATCTCCCATTACATCCCAAGCACTGAAAATAATAAATTCCAAAGCACCCCAGCCACAAAAATGTATCAAGAGATGATGATCCACTGTCTCGTCCGCTTTACAAGATATGCAACATTTGTTTGTTAATTTGAAACCTCTCTTCACCAAGTTATTAGTGGTCAAAATGGAATCAAGAGCCGCAGTCCAAAAAAAAATGCCACTTTGGTAGGAATGCTCAACTTCCAAATAGTCTTTGAAGGAAAATAGTTCTCCTTTTCCCTTGAGAATAAGGCTGTGTTTGCTGGGGAGATTTGGGAAGGGATTTGAAAAGGAAAAGGAAAAAGGTAAGTAAAATGTGAATAAAATATACTTACATTTCATCTAGTTTCACACACCTTTTCCCTTTCCCTTTCCAAATCCCTCCCTAAACCCCCTAACCGAACACAGCCTCAGAGAAAATAGGAGTCAACAGTGAAAGTCCCGTTACTATACCTCCAAAGGAAAATAGCTCTCCCTTTCAATTGAGAATAAGGAAAAATATGACTTAACAGTGAAAGTCCCCTTAACATACCTCCGCTTCATGCTCTTGGACCTATTAAGAGAAACACCAGTTCCATAAAGGCACCCATCTCCCAATCTTTGAGAGCTCTAATGGAGAGCCATTCCCACATTAATTCAGCATCATTAGCTGTTAGATAATTCGCAACCAAAGCAGTGTTGTTGACAGCAATATTGTATTTATCCAGGAAAGCAATGAAAGGGGGAATATCCCTACACTGGAGATCATTCCAAAAAAGAATTTTGCGGCCATCCCCCACCTCAAAATGCACATGCTTTGAGAACTCCAACAACCATGCCTAGTAACTTTCCACACACCCACCCCATGTGGCTTTCTACCATGATTTTAAATAACGGTATTGGAATATGTATCGGTATCAGTGATATGGTCGTATATCATTCAATATCAGACAGTATCAGACAGCAGTTTCTTGAAAGATCATGAGAAACAAAGAGACGTTGTCAGTGTATAGTTATAAAGATATTTCGTAAGGAAATAAGACACCACATACAAATATTTGTTTGAACTGATTTTTAATTCCTATGGTAGAATCACGGGCCAGTTTTGCCTTAATATGCTGTCTTTTTTTTCTTCTATTTTTTTTCCCTTTGCTTTTATAATGTTCTCTTAATTGATAAGTTCATTTTAACATTTTTAAATTCCCTCATTTTGTCCAGCCTTCTATAATTAAACCAATAATGATTTGCTTACAAAATTCTTTTGCTATGGGCTACAAGTACAGGATTTTGGATAAACTAATCAAAGCTGTTTACTTTGATAAAAACACAACACATCTGATTGCGATTTGTGTCGTTGATTAGTGTTGTGCAAATTTAAACAGAAAATCCATAATAATCTTTGCTATGGTAGTATACTTGGGTCAGAGGGCATTTTTATTTGGACCAACCTGCATTATTGAAATTCACTTTCTATCTCCATTACCATGGTGGAGGCAATTGCTTAATTGTAGCATTTTAATTTTCCAAGCAAACTTCGCAGCTGTGCTTGCAGGCCTTACTGCAATTTATGCGATGTGGATTGATAAGCAAGAGGATGTATTGTGATATTACTCATGTAGTAGTCAATAGTTGCAGCAACATTAAAACAAGGGAGTGAAAAGAAGTTGAACAGTCAGTGGTGTAACATATTTTCTCTCTTGATTATTATTATCATCAATTTGAGGGCTGTTATATCCGGTTAATCAAGAAAATGGCTGTAAATGAAGTTGCTATAAATATTCATGATCATGGTACAGCTCTTGATGACCATAAGAGGAGAATCGAATGCAATTATTGTGGTAAAGTAGTAAGTGGATTCAGCCGCCTTAAATGCCACTTAGGAGGCATAAGGGGAGATGTAGTTCCTTGTGAAAAAGTTCCCACAAACGTGAAGGACCTAATGAGAGACAAGTTGCTTGAAAAGAAAAAGGGAAATTTGAGCAAGGAAGTTGGGGAGCTGTACCATCCAAATCTTCCTTGGAAGAGAAATTGGTGCCCTGACTCCAATGCCATCAAGGATGGTAAGCTGGACATGAATCAAGCTGCTGGATCTGGAAGCAAAAAGCGTGTGAAAGTGAACTCTATATCAGAAAACAGCATGACGGAAGTGTGTTCTTTTCCCAAACGTTCACAAGCAGCTCCCAGTGCCTTGGAAGATTTATCATCACAGCAAGCTGAGAGATGCATTGGTAGATTCTTTTATGAAACGGGCATTGATTTCAGTGCTGCAAAATCTCCTAGCTTCCAGAGAATGATAAGTGCCACCATTGGTTCTGGTCAGATTGGGGTTAGGATCCCCAGTTGTCAGGAGTTGAAAGGGTGGATCCTTTGGGATGAGGTGAAAGAGATGCAACAGTATATCAAGGAAATTAGAAATTCATGGGCAAGCACAGGGTGCAGCATGTTGTTGGATGGATGGATTGATGGAAACGGACGGAACCTGATAAACATTCTAGTGCATTGCCCACAAGGACCAATTTATCTCAGGTCATTGGATATTTCAGCTGCTCTTGGAAACATCAATGCTTTGCAGTTGTTGTTTGATGAAGTTATTGATGAGATTGGGGCTGAAAATTTGGTTCAAATTGTCACATATTCTACATCAGCCTGTATGGAAGCTGTGGGCAAGCAATTAATGGAGAAGCACAGGACATTTTTTTGGACAGTCAGTGCATCTCATTGCTTAGAACTCATGTTAGAGAAAATAGGTATGATGGATCTCATTAAAGGGATACTGGAGAAGGCCAAATCTATTACAAAATTCATTTACAGTCGTGCCACAGTTCTGAAGCTTATGAGAAAATATACTAATGGCTGTGACCTAGTTAAGCCCTCCAAGATTAGGTCAGCCATGCCTTTCTTGACTTTAGAGAATATTGTGTCAGAAGAGGAGAACTTAAAGAGAATGTTTTTTTCATCTGAGTGGAGCACTTCAATCTGGGCTTCTAGCAGGGAGGGGTTAAGAATAGCTGATTTGGTGTGTGATTGCTCTTTCTGGATGGAGGCTACAGTAGTTTTGAAGGCAACTATTCCGCTGGTCCGTGTCTTGTGTTTGATTAGTGAGAGTGATAAACCACAACTTGGTTATATATACGAAACTATTGATCAGGCTAAGGAAACAATTAAGGAGGAATTTAAGAACAAGAAGGCCCAGTACATGCCTTTTTGGAGAGCTATTGATGAGATTTGGAACAATCATCTTCATAGTCCTCTCCATTCTGCTGGTTATTTTCTGAACCCGAGTCTTTTTTATTCAAGTGATTTCTTCACTGATGCAGAGGTTGCCAGTGGTCTATTGTGCTGTATTGTTCGCATGGTAGAAGGTAAGCACCTTCAAGATTTGGTCTCATTACAGGTTGATGAATATCGAGCAGCTAAGGGTTCTTTTGGTCAAGGAAGTGCTGATCGACAATCAAGTAATTCTCCAGGTTAGAGAAATCTATGTTATGCTCTATTATTATTTGCATTGCTTATCTTCAGCTATTTCATTTCATCTGAACTAGAATTTGAAATACTTGTGCCCTGAAATTTTTTCTGCAGCCCTTTGGTGGTCCTATTATGGAGGACAATGTCCTGAGTTGCAGAGACTCGCAATTCGAATTCTAAGCCAGACATGTGATGGCGCGTCAAAATATCAACTCAAGAAGAGTGTGGCTGAGAAGCTTCTCACAAAGGGAAGGAATCATATAGAGCAAAAACGGTTGAATGATTTGACGTTTGTGCATTATAATCTGCAGCTGCGAAATTTTGAGTCACGTGTAAGCAGTGACAGTTTAGTTGAAGAGATTGATCCAATGAATGATTGGATAGTGGATGAAGCACAAGAGGTAGTTCTGCAAAATTGCGAGCCAACATGGATCGAATTGGATTGTGTTGATAAAATCACTTCAACCACGACCACAAGAGGAGTCAATATTAGGGAAGGATCTCCAAGTTTTCATCCAAAGGAAGAGCCCAGCTAAGTTAAGATCTTAGAGAAAGAAAGCGGAGAAAAGAAAAGAGTAGGATATGGCAATCATTTTATATATAGGAAGCATGAACTTTTGTCTTGTATGTTGTGCTATTCTCTTCTTTGTGGAATTTTAAGGATAATTATTTGCAGTTGAGCTTACAGAAGACCCGTGTAGACGAAAAAAAATTGTAAAATAAGTGTGTTATTTACTGCATGACGTGGCAATTGCTTTTTTTTTTTTTTTTTTTTTGACGTGGCAATTGCTTTTTTTTTTTTTGTGTATTTTACTTTAAAATTTCCTACTTTTCATTATTGGGAAAATTGGAAAACTATCTACGAATTTGAGGTCAACAACAACAACTGGTGCTTGTTGGATCTTTGTCCGCTTTCAGGGACTTCAGAAAGGGGTTCTAGCAATTTGTGGAGGGAGATTACTATACATTAATTGAATTTGAAGAAGCTTTTTTTGTGAGGAATTTAGGGTTTTGGTGGACAAGGTTTTCTCTGTAGAGAGGAAGCCATTGGGCTGGTCTTTTTGTCTGCATGGTTTCTGAGGAACTCTTTTGATGAAAACATCAATTGGCGTCTGTGCTCGACTTGAGGAGTGTAGTGATGGTGAAGTGAATCAGAGACGATAAAGATTTGCGTGTTTGGAGAGAGAGTCACGTTAGAGCATCTTCATTTTTTATTTTTTAAATTTAATGAACAAATGCTCAAAAATCATCACAAATCCTTTCCTCAAATCTTTATATATTATTCATGAGCCCTGCTTCGGACCCCTTGTAGAGAACGACCCTCACCAACCCCACATACACCCCACATACACGTGGGGGGTAAGGAGAAGAAAAAAGAATTAAAAAAAATAAAAATTCAACCAATCACCACCCACTGGGAGTTTCCCCCATTTTCCATTATTCATATAATTGGACCAAATTATTCATTTATTAAAAAAATGTATGAATAAATTTATTTTCAAAAGAAGATGAAGGCAAAGATATGTTGTCTTTCGCTTTTTCATATTTTTCCTTTAAGGCTGTGAAATGAGAAAATAAGCTTATATTTTATTTAGATTATTCTCATCTTTTTTTTTTTTCTTTTTTCTTTTTTTGTCACTTTTTCTTTCAAATTTTTATCTATATCCATGGATTATTGATAGGATTGTTAAGGATTAATTATACCATACGATTAGATAGAATAAATTGTTGGATATAAGATATAAGAAAATTTACATTTAGATTGCATGATATTTGGGCCTTATTTTGTAGTATTTATAAGTCTAATTTTTCAAACTTAGGTCATGTTTGTTTTGCAAATTAGGGGGTAGGATTGAAGTAGTAATGAGGTGAGTCTCATTATAGCTTGTTTGGTAGCTTCCTTGTTGTGCTACTTAGGGGTGAGCATGGTCCGGATTGATCCGGATTTGGATAAAATCAGGATCAATCCGTTATGTACGGTTCCTGAAAAATTGAAACCAATCCAATCCGTTTAAATCGTGGAACGAATCCGAACCAATCCATTTAAACACGGATTAGATCGGTTTAGAACCATAGATTCACATAATTAAATAACAAAAAAATATATATAGAACATTTTAATTTCATAAAAATATAAACATAGTATCATATCAGTTCCACAATAGCAACATGTCTTTTCACAATAACAATATACTATTCTAGAATTTAAACAATCATAAGAAAACTAGTTCCACCATAAGTATTTAGATTATTACAAATTAAAACTAAAAACCAACAAACAAAAATAATAAAAGAAGATATTATGCAGATTTAGATTTTATATAGAATAAGAGAAGATATTATGCAGTAGGGTATATAATATAAATATAGGATATTTCTATACAGTCCGGATCGATTTCAATCCGGAACCATGGGGTTCAATCCGGAACTGATCCGTGGACTACGAATTTTTAATTTTTCAATCCGGAACCGAATCACAGATTCAAAAAATCAATCCAAACCTACCGAATTGGACTGGATCGGATCGGATTACGGATTTTACAGATTCCTTACTTAGCCCTAGTGCTACTCCACCTGAAGTATCACTCCCATACCCAAACTGGATTAAGTTTTCCTCAGGGCCACGTTTGTTTGGCGGATTAAGTTGAATGAGATTATTAGTGAGAGGATTGTTAGTGAAGAGATTGTTAATGTGTGAATTGTTAGTGAAGTGATTAAGTAAAAGTGTGTTTGTTTTGATGGTAGTGTGAGAGATGATTAGTGATGGAAATGTTAATTATTTTTATATAAAATAAATAAATAAATTATTTATATATTAAAAAAACTAAAACAAATAGTTACACTGGATAAAAAAAATATTTTTTTTATTATATAAAATAGACTCAACCCCCTCACTATTTTCCTAATCCCACTTAAAATTCACCCAAGTTAATTATTCTACAGAGGGAGATTACTAAACCCCCTACACTACTAATCTTATGACATTTTGTAGCATCAAAATAAGGGTTTGGTGCCGGGATCAAAAAGAAAAAGAAAAAAAAGGGTTTGGTGGATCCCACGAATCAATAATCTAATTCACCCTCCCAAACTCCCAATCAATCATGACCCAGATGAGCTGGGATTGAAAAAATAGTGAGGGGGATTCGGCTGCACTTTTTCTTTTCTTTTCTTTTCTTTTTTTTAACCCAAGTGCGACCTATTATTTGTAAATTTTTTTATATTTTTTTTAGAATTTTTTTATAAAAAAATAATTTAAAAATCTTATCACTAATCATCTCTTCCATTATTATCAAAATAAATACACTTTTATTTCCTCCCTTTCTAACAATTCTCACATTAATAATCTCTTCACTAACCATTCCTACATTAACAATCCTATCCAACTTAATCCGCTAAACAAACTAACAATCTCACATATTAACAATATCTTCACTAATTATCCTCTTACTAGTAATTTCATTTAATCTAATCCGCCAAACAAATATGACCTCATTTACTTACAAATAATGACTAATTTATTTAGATAAAAAAAATGAGATTTTCTTAAACTATAAATTGGGCCTTTTCTTTCTTTTCTTTTTCTTTTTTTTAGTTTTATTTGAAATTCTTAAATATAAGTACGAACAAGAGAATCTTATATTTTTTTGGTTATAATTATAACTTTTGATGGCATTTTAGATAATTGTATAACCAAAAAAAATAAATACGTGACAACTTATTTAATCAAACATATGATTATTTTTTTTTATAAACTTTTAAAAATCTTTACCAAACATATTTACAATTTATTATAAATTTGTAATTAATAATTACAAAAATTATAATTAAATGAATCTTGTCAAAAATAATTCGATAGTCTCAATGTAATTAAACAATTTCATTCTATAAAAGTAAAGTTTCTTTAGTTGACAAGTTGGCCAGGGTAGTGAAAATGTCAGAAGTTTAGGGTTTGAATCGATAGAGTGATCCCTTTCATTGTAATTTAACTTACTAACCCTCCAGCATCTAATTGTATGATAAAAAATAAAATAAAATTAAAATTAAAAAATTGTCAAGTTGTCAAAAAGGAGGAATGATTATTTGGAATAATTTTTTTTAGAGTAATTATCAAATAATTTTTTAGATGATTAAAATTTAATTCTATAAAAATTAAAAACATAATAGTCAAATGTTGAACGTATAATATTTATACAAAAAATACTTTAAGAAAAATTTTGTAAATGTAATTTGAGAATATGAGTTGTATTTTGAGTTTGTGAATTATGGAATTATGATTTGAATGTAGAAAATTTGTTTGGTTATGATTTTTAAATAGAGTGTTGAATTGTGTTTTGAAGATGTATGTTGAATTAAGTTTTGAAAATTTGACGTGACATGTGAAATAAGAAAATTTGTTTGGTGATGAGTTTTGAAAATAGTTTTCAAAACTTAATTCAATCAATAATTTATAATCAAACACACAACTCATATATCGATATTCGTATTTTTTATCAACAGTAATAACCAAACTATTTTTAAAATACTAAAATTAAAAATTGATTTTTTTTTCAATTAATTGTTTTTCAGTAATTTTTTTGAATAATTTTTTCATTTTAACTTACTTCTATGTCAATTATTTTGTGTCAATTAATTTTTCTATCAATTCATTTTTTAGGCCTGTACAAACATCTTGTACAATACGTTTTTTATTTTTTTCTAAAATTTTATTAAAGTCAACAACTTTTGAGAATACATATTAATAAAAATTAACATAAATAAGTATGTTTAATATTTTAAAATACAAATCATAACGTAAACCTTATAAAACATTATCAATTTTTTTTCCATTTATTACATTTTATTAATTTAGTAAAAGAAACATAACAGTTCAGACATGTATTATTGTACTTCGCAAATCACCACCCGTGAAGCTCATATAATTGGGGGTGATATTGGTGTGCAAAATGACTATTTTACCCCTGTTGATTTAAATGAGAAGTTGTTACATAAGAACAAAATGAAAAGGGTAATATAGTAATTTCACTTATCCAATACCTACCACCTATTCTATTGTAGCTGTGTGTTCAACACTGTGGGCTAAAGAAAAAGGAAGACGATGCAGAAGATGCCAGAAACCTACAAATTTATTAGTATACGGATGTAATTAAATTAAAAAATTAAATTGGAAAAAAAAAAGAGATAAGAAATGAAAAGTAAATAAAAAACAACCTTTTGAACCTTTTGAACCTCAGCCTTTCTATAAAATCTGAATCCGCATTCCTTTAACCACACCATCTTCACCATCTCATTGCAACACCTTCAGCAGTTCCATCAGAGAACAACATTAATTAAATTTAGTATATCCGTGTAAAGGAAGAATTCAATTACAGGTTAGTTTTCATCCCAGTTCATATTAGCTTCACATTTCATATTAGCTTCAGAGTGTAGGAAGGGGAAGTGCAGTCGAAGAGCAACACCAGGACAACTGGCCGGTCATCCCGCCGGTCATCCCATCCCAAGCACCAATTCGCCCTCCGCACTCAGTTTCCCTATCTGTTGTCGATTTGTTCCATTTTTTCACATCTGTTCCATTTTTTCACACCAACATCATACTGTTTGATATATTTTTTCATACATTTTTCTTAACTCATATGTTTTAATATACATGTTTCATACATTTTTCTTTCACTTTTGCAGTCATCATGCCAAGAACTAAACAAGCCAGACCCGAACGTGGTGAATCCTCAAACCCTGTACAACA